CCTGTATTGGGTGCATATATATTTAGGATAGTTAGCTCTTCCTGATGAATTGATCCCTTTACCATTGTGTAATGGCCTTCTTTGTCTCTTTTGATCTTTGATGGTTTAAAGTCTGTTTTATCAGAGACTAGGAGTGGAACCCCTGCTTTTTTTGTTTTCCATTTGCTTGGTAGATCTTCCTCCATCCCTTTATTTTGAGCCTATGACACACATGTCTTTACACACAGAACCGCATACACATAACAGCTATACATACATCCCACACAGTCACATGCACACACATGAAAACATACATACATGCACTTAGGCTGTCTCACATACACAGCTACGTACTTCACACAGGCACACACATTATTATAACAACATGTTTTCTTTTCTTTACAGCCCTTATTCGTTCTCTCAGCTATTTACTGAGTACTTACTGTGTGCTAGCTACTGTTAAAAGTCCTTGAGCTAAATCATTGAACAAAATGGGGAAACATATCTGCCCTCATGAAGCTTAGATTCTAATGGAAGGAGAGAGAGGCAAAAATAGTAAGTAGATATGTTAGCAGGTAGTGAGTATTAGGGAAAATAGTGCCTAGTAATGAGGAGTAGGAAGAACTAACTTGGAGGTGGGTTGCCAATTTGAGAAGATGATCAAGGTAAGCTTCATTGAGAAGTTGACAAAAATATTTAGCAAGGAAATAAAGTAGGAGAGAGAGTTATCCATGTACATATCTATGAAAAATCAGTCTGAGAAGAGAAAACAGCAAGTGCAGATACCCTAAGGCAGAGTGTGCCTTCAAGAAACAGGAAGAAAGACAATGTAGTTGATGTGCAGTGAATAAGGGGGTAAAGGAACAGGACATAAAGCCAGAGATAAAGAGAGCATGTGAAAATCATACCGGACCTTGAATAATGAGGTAAAAACTCTGAAGTTAATTTTGCATGAAATTGAGATTCACTGGTGGGTTCTGAGGAGAGGTGTGACATGATCTGACCTCTGATTTATCCTTTATGGTATATAAGATGAACTTAATTATTTTACACGTTATTATCTGTCTCACTTCTGAACAGGAATGAATCTGTCATGCTCATCTCTGTGTCTATCTGAGAGTAGCACTCAGTCAATATTTGTTGACTAATTGATAAGGACAGATATTTCCGAGGAGAAAGGTGTTCTGAGGTGCTCCAGTTTGGGTGTTTGCTCCCAATAAACCTCATATTGAAATTTGAGATGGAGCCTAACAGGTGTTTGAGTCATGAAGGAGAATCCCTCATAAATAGATTAATGCCCTCCCTCAGGAGTGAGTGAGTCCTAATCCTATTATTCCCCACAAGAGCTGGTTGTTGAAAAGAGCCTGGCATCTCCCCACTATCTCTCTTGCTTCCTCTCTCACCATGTCATCCATGCCCACACCAGCTCCCTTTCACCTTCTACCATGAATAGAAGCATCCCGAGACCCTTGCCAGCTGCAGATGCCCAATCTTGAAGTTTCCAGCTATCAGAATCATGGGCCTAATAAACATATCTGAAATAAATTACCCAGCCTCAGATATTTCTTTATAGCAACAAAAAATGGACTACAACAGGAAATTGTTGCCAGGGAGTAGGATGTTACCATAAAGATACCTGAAAATGTGAAAGAAGCTTTGGAACTGGGCAATGGAAAGAGGTTAGAAGAGTTTGGAGGGCTCAGAAGAAGACAAAGAATTGAGAGAAAGTTTGAAACTTCTTAGAGAGCGGTTAAACGGTTGTGACCAAAATGCTGTCAACCTAAAATAGTCAAAAGACTCAGCATCTAGTTAAAAGAGCTCACTGAAGCACAAAGTATGAGTGCAGCCATGCAGGGAGCACAGCTATTCCAAAGAATGGTGAGCAGTTCTCCTGGTGTAGGGGAAAATGAGGATTGCTTATACCGGCAAAATGAAGTTGATGAACAAAATTACAACATTTTCCACAAAAAAAGCTAACATATAGATGTAAGATTTCATTGGCTACTTTTGATGACACTCTAAGGGCATAGTTTAACATTCTATTAAAAGGAGACAGTCCACAAGGGTCTCTATCTTCATGTTGTTTAGTTCAGATTTGAATAAAGAAGAGTCTAGTTAATGTATAACATCTCAACACAAAGGTCAGAAAGCAAGGGTCATGCACCAGAGTCGGGGGAAGTTGTGTTACCTCAGTCAGCTTTCAGGGCTTAGGTTTTCCCTTTTGCAAGATAAATTTGGAAGGTCCTAGATTTAAATTTTTTACAATGCTGATAGAAATATGGACAGTACAGTCCATGCTGAAAAGTCTCAGATAGAAATGAGAAAAGTGTTGGGAGCTGGGGCAAAATTGACCCATGTTACTCTGTAGCAAAGAACTCGGGTGCACTGTGTCCATGCCCTAAGGCTTTGTGGAAGGCTGAACCAAGAGTGATGACCTACGGTGTCAGGTGCAAGAGATATCTAAGCAGTAAAGTGTTCAAGAAGTGGCGTGGTTACTTTTAATAGCTTATGCTAAATCGTGACAGCAAAGGAATGACCTAAAGACTGTGTTTATAATTAAAGGGGAAGAACAGCATTAAATTTGGAAAATTCTCATCCTGGACATAGTGGTAGAGAAGACAAGACAATTTTCAGGAGAGGAATCCAAGGATGTGTCAGAATAACTCTTTGCTAAAGCATGACTAAAAGGGGGCCTGGTGCTAATAGGATAATTAGGAAGAAGGTTCCAAAGGCATTTCAGAAACCTTTGAGGCTGCTCCTCCCAACACAGGCCCAGAGACCAAGAAAGACAGAATGGTATTAATTCTGCAGGCACCCAGAATGTAGGAGCCATAGATGCTTTGTGGTAAGATCCTCTACAAAGAATTCCCACTAGGGAAATCCTCATGAAGCCATAGAAGTGGGGCCACCCCCAAGACACAGAACTGTAGGATCACCAATTTGCAACTCCAGCCTGAGAGAGCTGAAGCATGGGCTGAGACCAGCTTTAAGTCAATGTTGGCCAGGCATGGGGGCTCATGCCTGTAATCTCTGGGAGGCCATGATGGAAAGATCACTTAAGTTCAGGAGTTCAAGACCAGCCAGGAGAACATAGTGAGAACCCGTCTCCACAAAACATTAAAAAATTATCTGGGCATAATGGCATGTGCCTGTAATCCCAGCTGCTCAGGAGGCTGAGGTGGGATGGTTGCTTGAGCATGATAGATTGAGGTTGCAATAAGCTGTGATCACACTACTGCACTCCAGCCTGGGCAAATAGAGTGAGACCCTATTTCCAAATAAAATAAATATAAAGAGATATAAAGACTTTTTTTCCCTGTTGAGTTTTGGACTTACTTGGACAGTGTTGGGTTGGAACAGGGAAGAGAACATGTCAGACTCTGAGTGTAGCCTGCAGGTGGACCCGATGGCTTTTTCACATCCTTGTGTGAAAGAAAAGAGTCAGGAAAGTCTCTAAGATTTGATGTTGTAAGAGCTGGAGGAATAGGGGTGTCATTTGCTGAGATGGATAAAACCATACCTGGAATGGGAGAGGACAGGGAAGGATATGATCAACCTCTTAGCTTTGGACAAAGTATGTTTGAGATGCCTGTTCGATACCCAGGTGGAGAAGTCAGGCAGGTGAGGATGCAGGAGAGAAAACCAGGCTGGATACACACATGTGTGGGCCATTGGCAAGCCACATGGTATCCAAGCTATGACATTTGATGAGGTAATGTACAGAGTGAGTGTGGATAAAGATGAGGAGGAATCAGCCAAAGAGAAGGAAAAAGCAAGAGGAAAACCAGACAAAAGTGGTATGCTGGAACCAAGCAAAGCAAAGAATTAAAAGAGCGTTCATCAAGCCCATGTGAGCTCCATTTCTTTCTCTTTGGTTGAAGTAATAATTTTCTGTCAGTCCTGGGCATAAATCTGCTTCATGCCCCTTGGGTTGAAAGTGCAAGTCCAGTTGGCCTCAAATGCGCTAATTTTGTAATGTCCATAAACTTGGCTAGGAGGACTGCTGTTACTCTTTGAAAGACTCTAAAGTTATCCACTGTCAATGATTAGCTGTGCTGTCTTTCCAAGAGTGCAGGGATTGTGAAGTTGTTTTCTTGAGTTACCGTGCTCTCTTCCAAGGCTGTAGGAATTCTGGAGCTGCTGGCTGGAGAGGAGGGTGGTCCAAGCTGTCCCCAGAAAGACCTCCAGAGAGGACTTGGCAGGTGAGCACTGTTTCAAGGAATGGACTGATGGGGTCATAATTCATGATAATCTCACCAATCTTTTAGAGTCACGGCTGGTGAGAAGAGCAAAAATCCTCACAGAAAAGCAGAAATTCCTAGGGACCGTGAAAGACAGTACCTGTCAAGTCTTAGTGAGGAGGAAACACTGGGCAGAGGAAAAGATACCTTTATTACAGCAACAAGGAGAGACGAGGGCAGCTGGAAAAGGGTGGTAACAGGGCCTGGGAGTGGGGTGGTTGTCAGAGAAGGATGAATCTCAGAGGAGGTGAGGCCAGAAGAATGAGGAAGAGCCTATTATGGAAAAAGAGAGGGACCAGCAGGTACAAAGGCAATGCGTAGTTCTGCTCAGGAGCAGGTACAGAAATCTTCAATTCTTATTCTGTAGAAAAAAAGGAAACAGAAATATCAGACACTGTGATGGTTAATACTGAGTGTCAATTGATTGAATCGAAGGATACAAAATATTGACCTTGGGTGTGTCTGTGAGGGTGTTGCCAAAAGAGATTAACATTTGAGTCGGTGGGCTGGGAAAGGCAGACCCACCCTTAATCTGGGTGGGCACCATCTAATCATCTGCCAGCATGGCTAGAATATAAGCAGGCAGAAAAATATGAAAAGAGAGACTGGCCTAGCTTCCCAGTCTACATCTTTCTTCTGTGCTGGATGCTTCCTGCCCTTGAACATCAGAATCCAGGTTCTTCAGTTTTGGAACTCAAACTGGCTCTCCTTGCACCTCATATATATACTTATATATATGAGTTTATTAAGTATATATATTCCATTAGTTCTGTTTCTCTAGAGAACGCTGACTAATACATATTTTGGTACCAGAAGTGGTTCTAGAGGAATAGAATATTAAGGATGGAGTTGTTTTGTTGGTTTTGGGATTTATGGAGTTGGCTCCTTAATATGATTAGATCCCAAAATACTAAGGACTTTACTTCTAATAGTATGGAGACCACTGATAGTCCTTGACGTGAACTATTTAAAGAGTTATACAAAATAAATGCATTTGACACTCCTGATTCATTGCTCATGAGAGGCAAGGAGTTTAGCGACCCTACACATAATACCTTTGACCATACATGGAGAACCAAGGAACATAATGAAGCTGGTTGGTTGCTCCTAAGTTCAGTGGATAAAGTGATGAAAGAAAATGATGAACTCAGGGATTCTATCTCCCAGCTTCAGAAGCAGATATTGAGCCTCAAATCTGCCAAGATTGCCCTGAGTGAGAGTCTAATCTCCTGTAGAGAAAGAGCTGAAATTGTGGAAAAACAGACATAAGCTCTTATCATGTGAGTGGCTGACCTGCAATGAAAGGTGCATGCCCAGCCTCACCAAGTGTCTACTGTTAAAGTGAGGGCATTGATTGTGTTGCAGGAAGTCAGGGACCCTGAACAGAGGGACCGGCTGGAGCTGAGGCAGAACATAAATTGTGAAGATTTCATGGACATTTATCAGTTCCCAAAATTAATACTTTTATAATTTCTTATGCCTGTTTTTACTGCAATCTCTGAACATAAATTGTAAGATTTCATGAACTTTTATCACTTCCCCAATTAACACTCTTATAATTCCTTATGCCTGTCTTTACTTTAATGTCTTAATCCTGTTATCTTCATAAGCTGAGAATGTATATCACCTCAGGACCACTATTGTACAAATGGATTGTAAAACGTGTGTTTGAACAATATGAAATCAGTGCATCCTGAAAAAGAACAGAATATCAGTGATTTTCAGGGAACCAGGGAAGATAACTATAAGGTCTGACTGCCTGCAGGGTCAGGCAGAATAGAGCCATATTTTTCTTCTTGCAGAAAGCCTATAGACAGATGTGCAAGTAGGAGAAATATCACTCAATTCTTTTCCCAGCAAGGAACAACCCTGGGGAAGGAATGCATTCATGGGGGTAGGTCTATAGATGGCCACTCTGGGAGTGTCTATCTTACGTGGTTGAGATAAGGACTGAAATGTGTCCTGGTCTCCTGCAGTACCCTCAGGCTTACTAGGATTGGGAAATTCCAGCCTGGTAAATTCTAGTCAGACCGGTTTTCTGCTCTCAAACCCTGTTTCCTGTTAAGATGTTTATCAAGACAATGCGTGCACAGTGGGACATAGACCCTCATCAGTAATTCTAATTTTGCATTTGCCTTGTGACCTTTATCGCCCTTTGAAGCACATGATCCTTGTGACCTACTCCCTGTTCGTACACCCTCTCCCCTTTTAAAATCCCTAATAAAAACTTGCTGGTTTTATGGCTTGAGGTCGCCATCATGGTCCTACCAATATGTGATGACACCCCCGGAGGCCCGGCTGTAAAATTTCTCTCTTTGTACTCTTTCTCTTTATTCCTCAGACCATCTGACACTTAGGGAAAATAGAAAGAACCTATGTTGAAATATTGGGGGCTGTTTCCCTTGATAAATTGGAAAAGAATAAGACCCTGCAATTTGGAATGGGAACATATGGGAGGACCCTGGTGAAGCTGGGGACACTGAGTCTGTAAACTCTGGTGAACTTTTTTTGCCAGAAGAAACAGCTTCCCACCCACCCAGTAGTGGCAGCATTCCCTCCCTAACCCATGCTGCCATCAGCCTTTCCACCTTTGTCTGAGGGGATAAATTCTGCACTGCCTGAGGCAACAGTGATGGCCTCCCCTGAGGTGGTTGTCAAGCAAGACAATGTTGATTCTCCTCAGGAGCCACCCCCAACACTCCTGTTTGCTTCTAGACTTATAACTAGACTAAAGTCCCGGTGGGCCCCTAGAGGTGAGGTTGAGAGTGTGACACATCAGGAGGTTCACTACACTAGATAATAACTGCTTGAGTTTTTAATTTATATAAACAGAAATCTGGAGAACAGACATGGGAATGGATATTAAGGGTGTGGGATAATGGTGGAAGGAACATAGAGTTGAATCAGTCTGAATTTATGGATTTGGGCCCATTAAGTAGGGATTCTTCATTTAATGTTGCAGCTTGGGGAGTTAGAAAATGTTATAATAATTTATTTGCTTGGTTAACTGAAATATGGATTAATAGATGGCCCACCATGAGCGAGCTAGAAATGCCTGATCTCCCCTGGTTTAATGTAGAGGAAGGGATCCAAAGACTTAGGGAGATTTGGATGGTGGAGTGGATTAGTCACTTTAGACCTACTCTTCCCAGCTGGAAGCATCCAGAAGATGTACCCTTGACCAATGCCTTACAAAATACATTTGTGAGGGCAACACCTGCCTCTCTGAAGGACCCTGTAATTGTTCTTCTCCGTATGTCAGATCTAACAGTGGGAACTGCAGTCACTCAACTAGAAAATTTAAATACAATGGGAATAATTGGATCCTGAAGTGGCAGGAGCCAAGTGGCAGCACCCATCCATCAAAGGCAAGGTAGACATTGCTACTGTAATGGACAGCAGAGGCAAAGTGGCAATTAGCATAGTCTGACTCCTGTAGAGCTCTGGCATTGGCTAATTAATCACAGCGTTCCCAGAAATGAAATTGATAGGAAGCCTAATTTATGCAAGCAGAAAACTTCTAGGTCAAATGGACAAAAGACTAATTTGAATTATAAAAACAGAATCATGGCCCCTCAATCATTTTCCAGACTTGGGCCAGTTTACAGACCCAGAACCCCTTGAATAAAGGGGAGGCCAGGTCCCCTTGAGGAAGGACCCCACTACATTACCAACAATTTATGCAGTGAATCTTTATCCCATCCTTCCCCAAGGAGACCTCCGGCCTTTTACTAGGGTAGCTATGCATTGGGGAAAGGGAAATTATGAGACATTTAAGGGACTACTGGACACTGGCTGTGAGTTGATGTCAATTCCAGAGGACCCAAAACATCATTGTGGTACTCCAGTTAAAGTAGGGGCTTAGGGAGGTCAGGTGATTCATGGAGTTTTAGCTCAGGTCCAACTTAAAGTGTGTCTAGTGGGTCCCTGGACTCATCCTCTGGTCATATACAAAACACTGCTGAAAGAAATCATAGATGACACAAACATATGGAAACACATCCTATGCTCATGGATGGGTAGAATAAATATTATAAAAATGACTACATTGCCAAAAGCAATATACAAAATCAGTGCAATTCCCATTAAAATACCACCATCATTCTTCACAGAACTAGAAAAAATAATCCTAAAATTTATATGGAACCAAAAAAAGAGTCCTCATAGCCAAAGCAAGACTATCCAAAAAGAACAAATCTGGAGACATCACATTACCTGATTTCAAAATATACTATAAGGCCATAGTCACCAAAACAGCATGGTCCTGGTATAAAAATAGGCACATAGAACCGTGGAATGGAAGGAATGGAATAGAGAACCCAGAAATAAACCCAAATACTTACAGTCAACTGATCTTTGACAAAGCAAACAAAACCATAAAGTGGGGAAAGGATACTCTATTCAACCAATGGTTCTGGGATAATTGGCAAGCCACATGTAGAAAAATGAAACTGGATCTTTATATGTCACTTTATAGAAAAACCAGTTCAAGATGGAGCAAGGACTTAAATCTAAGACCTGAAACTATAAAAATTCTAGAAGATAACATCAGAAAAATCCTTCTAGACATTCGTTTAGGCAAAGATTTTATGACCAAGAAGCCAAAAGCAAATGCAACAAAAACAAAGATAAATAGATGGGACTTAATTAAACTAAAGAGCTTTTGCATGGAAAAAGGAATAGTCAGCAGAGTAAACAGACAACCCACAGAGTGAGAGAAAATCTTCACAATCTATACATCCAACAAAGCACTAATATTCAGAATCTAGAAGGAACTCAAACAAGAAAAAAAAAAAATCCCATAAAATGTGGGCTAAGGACATGAATAGACAATTCTCAAAAGAAGATCCAACATACATATGAAAAAATGCTCAACGTCACTAATGATCAGGGAAATGCAAATCAAAACCACAATGCAATACCACGTTACTCTTGCAGAAATGGCCGTAATAAAAAAATAAAAAAATTATGGATGTTGGTGTGGATGTGGTGAAAAGGGAACACTTCTACACTGCTGGTGGGAATGTAAGCTAGTACAACCACTATGGAAAACAGTGTGGAAATTTGTCAAAGAACTAAAAGTAGAACTACCATTTGATCCAGCAATCCCACTACTGGATATCTACCAAGAGAAAAATAAGTCATTATACGAAAGAAGTCACTGCACATGCACATTTATAGTAGCACAATTCACAATTACAGGAATATGGAACCAGCCCAAATGCCTGTCAATCAACAAGTAAAGAAACTTGTGTGTATATATATAATATATAATATATAATA